CCAGCAAGTGGCAGGCCTCGGTAGCCTTGGATTTCTTTCACTCCCGCTCACTCTTCCCTGGTTTTATTCTTTTTTCCTCTGTGTTCTACTATTTTCCCTGCTGTGATAAATTACCAAAGACTGAATTGCAAAATTTAACCTTTCTCCCCCAGTGCTGTCTTTTAATGTTGCCTGTGGCTCTGGCCTTTGCCCTTTGCTTCTGCAAACAGGCCAAAGCAGCTCCAAGCTGCGCCTGTCCAGGAAGCCTTGTCCCTGGCACCACGGTCCCCAAGGCCACACACACTTAGTCAGGATGTCCCCTCCTCCTCAGCCAGAGAGCTGCATCCCCATGAGACCCCTGAGCGCCTCAGCACACTCTGGCCACTGGGCACCCCCCTCCCGTGCAGTCCTTGGCTGGCAGGAGCCCGTGAAGCGGAGCAGCGGAGGAGGGGCGGGCGCTCCGTGCACCGGCCTCCCGGTGTGGGCCTGCCAGCGAGTGACCGCCACGTGGAGAGAGTTGGGGTGTGCAGGGAATGCCACTGGGCACCCCCCTCCCGTGCAGTCCTTGGCTGGCAGGAGCCCGTGAAGCGGAGCAGCGGAGGAGGGGCGGGCGCTCCGTGCACCGGCCTCCCGGTGTGGGCCTGCCAGCGAGTGACCGCCACGTGGAGAGAGTTGGGGTGTGCAGGGAATGAGACAGAACACCTTGAGTGGCTGTCATTAAGCAACGGGGGTAAAGAGATGGGAGGAGAAACCAAGCACCCACCATCGCTGCCTTTTACAGAAGCCCAAAGACAGCAGCACGCCCACCAGGGCTGCAAAAACATCACCCAGGACAGGAGGCCGAAGGTGTGCTAGAAAGACGGATTTTATCTCACTGAGTCACAAATACAGCAGGGAGGAAAGACTGAAAATATGTTAGTATTACAAATTTTGCTACTTGTTCAAAAAGATACCCAGATTTCCCACTGTTGAACTGAAAATTTAGGATCTGAGTGGTGGAAAGGGACTTTAAATCTCTCAGCCCATTCTCGTACTTTGTTAAGATTTTATTTTTTCACAATCCGTATAAAAATAATCTCTTCTCCTGTGGTCCGAAGCCCCGGCCTGGGGCCTGTCAGCCCGGCTGCCCACTTCCCAACCTCACGACTGTGGCCAAGCTCACTAACTCCCCAGGGCCTCAGCTTCCTCATCTGCAAAATGCAGATAAGCAGGACCCTTATCTCACAGGGCTGTCGGGAGGCACACGCGAAATAATAAACATAAAGTGCCCAGAACAGTGCAGTAAGAAAGTAGCAAGAACGCTATCACGTCAGTTATCAGAAGTAACAGTTGTGCTGTTTCTCCTCCCTGTACTTTTTATTCTTGAAAAAATTTCAGTCTTCATTCTAACAGTCTCTCTGAAGACCCCTGTGTAAAAAGTCTCCTCCCCTCTAGTTCAGCCACTGAAGAGGACGGCAGGAGCTGGCATTTCCTGAGCACCTACTTGATACAGGCTAGATATGTCCCTGTGGCACAGGTATCACCCTCCCATTTGACATATGGGAAAACAGAGGCTGGGGTGAGGGGGCATGCACCCGCTGAGGTCCCAGGCAGCAGGAGTGGAGGTGGGATTTGAACCCACAAATGCACCCCCAGCACGTGAAGGTCAGGGGTGGAAAGCAGGCCCACCACTCCCTCTCACTCATGCTCTGCCCCTCACCAAAAGCTTTCCTTTTTAAATAACCTACCATTTAGTGGGTTTTGAAAAGACACTTCTGAAAAGAACAAAATAAGAATTCTGAAATTTCAATCGGCCAAGTTGAATATATTACAAATAATTTCTTCAGCTACTCAGGAATTCAGTAAGCTTCAAAAAAGCCATTATGTGAACATTCAAGGCCCAACAACCTCAAAACACATTTTCATAAACAATGCTCTAAGCTCCTCCAGGAACCATGAATTCATGTGTGTCCTTTTCAGGCCACAAGCCCAGTGACTCACCCAGGAGCATGCTGATGAGGTCACTGAAAATCCTTCCCAGGCCAAATGGTCAAACACTGGTCACTGAGTGTGATCTCGGCACAGACAGTGTGCCGGCCCCAGGAGCAACACTCCAACCCACTCCGGGAAGTGCAGCCTAGAGGTCAAGATCCTGGGCCCTGCAGGCGACTGCCTGGGCTGGGAGACCTCTCCACCTGGCCAGCAGGGTGACGAGGCCCTCTACCTCTCACAACCTCCAGTTCCTGAACTGCAAAATTCAGGAAACTGAGGGACCACATCACCTGTGGTTGCTGTGATAATTAAATGTGATATTACATGGAAGCCCTTGCTAAGCGCTCATTAATTGCCAGCCGTTGCTGAGAGGGAGCCGAGCACAGAGGTCAAGGGTGTGGGCTCTGGAGCCAGACTGCCCAGGCTTCAGTGTCAGCTCTGTGACTTACTAGCTGAGACCTTGAGAATCTCACTGGACTTCTCCACACCTCAGTTTTCTTTTTTCTTTTTTTTTTTCCTGACCGGTAAGGGGATTGCAACCCTTGGCATGGTGTGGTCTGCACCATGCTCCGCCAGTGAGCACACCAGCCATCCCTATATAGGATCCAAACCCGCGGCCTCGGCGCTCCCAGAACTGCACTCTCCTGAGTGAGCCACGGGGCCAGCCCCCACACCTCAGTTTTCTAATCTGTAAAACGGGGAGGATAAGAGAAACTTCCTCAAGGAAGAGTGGATGTAAGGAGTCCATGAAATGATGGATGTAAAGTGCTTACAACAGTATCTGGTGCACAGTAAACACTAAAGAACTTACCTTTTATTATTTCTAGAGATCATTTTGGTCCATGAAAAGAAGTTATTGTAAGAGACACAATCCTAAACAAACATGGTTGCAGAAATAGGAGACTGACCCAAGCCTGGTGTCCCCTCAAGAGCTGGAAGACTCGGCAGGCCTGGACCCTGAAACAATAGCTGGGCCCCACAGTGCTTAACTGGTCTGTGCCGCACTTCACTGCCAGCAGGAGAGGAGCCTAGTTAATACACCTCTACACTGCGCAGGATGAAAGAGGCATGTAAAATACACTCTTCTAAAAATGGTTTGCTGTGCCAAGCAAGACACACACAAAAGGACAACCTTATTTAAATTTGCAGAGAAATGCTACAGAAAGAGCAAAGCAACAAATGAACTTGAGAAAGCCTCAAGTAGGCATAGCCCTGCAGCTCAAATAGGACATCATATGAGCCCTGCACCATCCTCGAACGCCTGGCATCCCTCCCGTTGCTGGCATCATCAGAGGAGGGAAGGTTGCAAGAGACCTCAGGTTAAGCTTTAAGAGCTGGGAACTGTTCTCCTGACTGGTTTTGATGGCAATCTCTCCTGCTTTTTTAAAAAGAGGAGGCTGGGCTGAACGTGAGTGAGGTCACGAGGGCCAGGATTTGCAGTGGGACCGTCCCCTATCCTGAGCAGTGCACCAGGCAGCCCCTGCCCTTCAGGCAGCTCAACTCTCTGACCCCCACCCCCACCCTCGGCTTCTCTTACTGCTCCTGTCCCTTCTTGCCTCTGGTCTGGGCTCAGGCACGCCAGCCAATGAGAGCACTCGGACCCTACCAGGCACCCAAGTCCAGGACATGTTTCAGATTTTCAGGCTAGATTTTTAGCAGGATTTTATTTGCTGCCAAAGATGTTTTTTCAGTTTTCAGGTCAAAGCCGTTCTGAATGGTGGACGATGGTGGCTGTCTGACCACCAGATATCCACATCCCGCCACCCATCCCCTTGTTCAACAGAGCCTGAGCCACTGCACTGTGGGAGACGGTTCAATCTCCACTAAGTCCTTCATTCAATCTGTGCTTAGCAGGTCCTCCTCGGGACCTTTACTTAGTTAATAGCTTCCGTTTGGTCTAGCTCCCTGTCCTTTACATAGCACAGACCTCTGGCAAGATTCCCGTCCTGGCCAAGGCCCACAGAACCTCACACTCTGTTTCCTACTGAAAGGGCTAACAACACCAGGCTCGCCCAGGCTGCTGTGTGGTGCAAGGTGAGGTATGTGAGAGGACCTCCTAAAACATGCACAGTCACTGTGCTATAGGGCACAGCTCCGAAGGCACCGCTCCCCTGGCATTCCAAGAGATGCTATTCACGCAGACCACACGTGAATGCTGCCTCCTGGAGTTGTGCAGAGGCTGTACTGCTAACCCACCTCCACCTGGCTTTAATTAAAACAAAGGTCTTTAAAACATCCACCTGGGTCTGACATTTTATGCCAGTCCAGTTTCCCACAATGTGCTAAAGTGACCAGCCAAAGCCAGAAACTTGGGAGGAAGCAGGAGGAAGCAAATCTCCAGCGCAGGCGCGTGCAATGTGGCAACACCCCTGGATGTTACGAAGGTAGTTCGAAAAATTTGTGGAAAATCAGAATTAAAACATGACACAAATCCGTCCTTGAACTTTTTGAAGTACCCAGGTAATTCTGACCATGTCCACACTCAGAGAAATCAGCAGAGGTCCAGAGCTGAACCTTCCCGTCTCTAAAACCCCAAATAAGCCCAGTCACGCACAAGGTCCCACCTGAGTCTGCCCGGGGGGTGGGGGGCTGCCGGGGG